AGGATGGTACCTAAGTCTAAATAGAAAACTCATTTATATTTCATATACATCATACACATACCCTGAAGGTAATTTTATACAATATATTTAGTACACTTAGATCTTGATTGTGACCTGTTATATAAGGTCAGGTGTGGACTTACAACATCATTTAGCCCAAAGTTTAAATTTGGAAGCATTTTGGTTTTTGAATTTTCAGATTAGGGATGTTCAGCCTATATTTTCATTATACTTACGTTGCAAATTCTGTGATTGTCCCATAGTTTCTGAGCATTCTATTCCTTCTTATTTTCAGGGTTTTTTTCTCTTTGCTCTTCAGATTGAGAAGTTTCTATTGTATCCTCAAGCTCAGTGCTTCCTTCCTTATCTGAGTCTAGTCTACTGATGATCACATTGATGACAGTCTTCATTTCTGTTCAACTGATTTTACTCTGTAGAATTTGTGTGAGTGTTTCTTAGTATTTTCATCTCTCTTCTATCATCTATCTGTTCTTGCTTTTTGCCTTACTTTTTCCATTACATCCTTTAATATATTATAATATTTTTTCTCAGTTCTTAGTCTGGTAATTCCAACATTCCTGCCATATTTGGCTCTGGTTCACATTCTTGTTCAGTCTCTTCAGTTAGTGTGCTTTGTAGTTTTTGTCAAAAGTGGACATGATTTTCCTGAGTAAAAGGAACTGTGATAATTAGGCCTTCAGTGATATGGTTGTCAGGTGTGGCAGAAGGGCAGCATCTATGGTTCTATGATGAGATATCAGTGTTGTGGTGAGTGTATAACACCAAGCTGTGGGCTTCACCAGTGTTTCTCAAGTTTTAATTCCCCTCAGAAGGGCTAGATGGAATTGGGGTTGAGTATTTCCCTTCTCCTAGGTTGGCTAGGCACTGAAGAAAACATAGTAGTTTAAGCTTCAATAAAATAATTTCTCCTGGGAGCAGACCATATTAAGAAAAATAGAATGGTCTGGCATATTTCAAAATGGTTCCCTGCTGGGAACAGGAGGGGATTTTTCTCTGAAATCCACTGTGAACACTTGGTAGAGCTCCTGAAGGTGGAATTGGGTCCCCCTGATGACTGGTCTCCCTGGATCATCTAATTTTCACATTTGTCCACATGAGCCTCCCTAGCCATTGGTCATTGACAGCATAGGTTTTCCTGCCTGGTGCAGGTTTCTTCTGGTGGCTTCTGCTCCCATGTGTTGTGATTTGCTATATCCACCTGTCTGACTCAACAGTTTGGCAGCAGTTTGTTCTGTGGCCTTACTTCTCTGACAGGTAAGAGATGAGTTTTGATTTTTGAGTTTTGTACTTGTTAAACAGACCCTCCTTACATACTGGACCAGAAACCAGAAGTGAATAATTTTTAAAATCTAGGTTTTCCTTTTAACCAAGAGAGATTGTATAAGAAACTAATACTTACAAATATCTTGAAGATATAATCTTTAAGAATATTTAAATATATTTAATAGAATATTTAAATTGAATAGAATCTTTAAAAATCCTCAACTAAATCCATAAAATAAAGGATAACTGTAAAAACTTGTTGAGGAAATAAAAAAGGACTTCATAAAATTGAGAAATATTCAAATGGGATGGGATAGAATCAATGTTTTAAATACCTGGGTTTGTTGAAACTGATTTGAATGGTACTATGGTAAGTGTCTATAATTTCCTAAGTTTTTCAAAGGGTAATAAAAGATTTCTAAAGGTTAATTGAGAGTTCATGGAACTTTGAGTTACTATCTCTTAAAATATACTATAGAGCATATAAATAAAAATACTATTTAAAAACTATATGGACCAGTGGTGGGGGGGTACGGTTTGGCATCCCAGCCTGAAGAAAATCCAAGTGTATTAGAAATTTCTTCTGGTATATGTGACATGTCCATCCATAAGGACACTCTCCTCTATTTATGAACAATCCCAGGACGTTTGATTAGCTTTTTGAGGGAAAACCCATCTGTGTCTGAGATAGGTACAAAAAAGAATTCCAAACTTATTGATCATTTAAATGTTACAGTCTTTGCCACACATACCTGTGGATATTTGTAGTGTTGGTTGAGAAGTTCTAAGCATGTTACAAAAGGAGGAAATCAGAGAGAGAAATGTAATAGTCACTACTAAAACATAAAACTATTAGGAAGTGTAAGTCAGTCCCTCCAAAAGCTGTAATGCCCCAAAACCCAAATGGCAAATTGAGGGATAATTTTGCAGCATTTGATAAACCCAGTGGCCTCATCAGCCTAAAGAACTCTTACAAATATTATTAATAGGAAGTAGATGAAGACTCTAAGAGGAGAGGAGTGCTCAGTGTTGACAAGGAATTGACAGTGGACAATATACAAAACTGACAAATGTGAGAAACCTAGAAGAAAGTTAACTATGGGTATTTAACTGTATATATCAAATGTCTTAATACCCCAATCATTATTATCTTTCTAATAGTATTTTTTCTAATATATATATCTTTATAATATTTTTAAATTAACTATCAAAATTATATAATGAGAATTTTAACTGTAGAATTTATTATAGAAAATAATCAAGAGGTGGATTTACACCTTTCTAAACAGACATTGACTCAGGCATTATTGCAATAATGGAAAAATAGATACATAATGTCCAAAATAGAAACACACTTCACTCATATAATAAAATATGTGTCCATTACAAACTATTTCACTTATCTGGGAGTAAATGACCTGCAAAGTAGTCTGGTCTCTGTTTTGGCAACCAAGCAATCCTACTTTTGATAGGACTGGATAGAATAGACTCAAAATGAGCAAGCCTTGGCAACCAAGCAATCCTACTTTTGATAGGACTGGATAGAATAGACTCAAAATGAGCAAGCCTTGGTGTTTTAAATGGTCATCCCTGCCTGGTGAGATAACTAGAGAATCTCGTTACTTATTTTGTATTATTTTGAGTGTAGATTAGTTGAAAAATTAGAAAAAATGATTTAAAAAAATACATTACGTCTGGCAGAGTGGCTCAAGCTTAAGAGCACCTGCCTAGCAAGCACGAGGCTCTGAATTCAGATTCCAGTGCCACAAAAAAACACACACACACACACACATTAAATTAGTGGTTATTGGTAAAGGAGGTTTTTTCTTTTTATAAAGCAAATTTGCAAACAACTTAGCTAAGTAGAAATTTGATTTACACTTTCTACTTTTATTTTTTACTTGTAGTGTGGCTTATTTGGAATTCATATTGTTAGCTTAATAACACAGAATCTCATCCTGCCTTTAAAAATCTTCCGAAGGGGACATCTTGATTTTTAAAGATCATTTGTCCGAGAAGCTATGGTGTTGAGATGTTGAGGGTGTATTTGATGCAGCTTTTACTCCTTCCGGGGCTGCCTTTCCCCTGTCTGTCAAGCTGTTTTTAATCATTTGAGTTGGGTTTTTTTTCCCCCATTTTTAAATATCTCTGTCATAACTGGCAGTCTGGTGATGGATGTCTCCTGTACAGACCTGACTCTTATCTTATTCCAGACCCTTGTATCTGTGACAGACTTACCAGCATGCCAAGGCAAAATAGATCCAAGGTGGTCTTGAGCTTTTCATTCTTTGGGAAATTTACCAACTCTGAACCTTAGTTTCATCTTTTGTTCATTTAGCAAATAGTTTTAAAATCCCAACTATGTTGGGCATTTTGAGAGAGTAGTCAACAGACAGATGAGATCCTTGAATCTTTGTGACCTACTGATGTGAAAATGGATATTTAATACTTACCTGAGAGGATTAGGTGAGGACTCTGTGCAAAATTATGCTTGACACCTAGGCAAACCTCAATAAATGATTAATTTTCCTCTGCTTTCATTCTCTGCAGGTACACCAAACATAGCATTGTCTATTCTGTGTTAGAGCTTCTCTTTTGCCCCTGTGGCTTGGTTCTGTTGCCTTGTATAGGAGAACTCTTTTGAGTTACATTCCCAGCAGTCATGTACTGGTCACAGATCCTGCAAAGGAAGTGGACCCAGCACATCCCAGTGTTCCCACTGACTATCAGCTGAGTGAGCCACTGGAGAGGCTGAGGGTTATGGTGTTGGTGCAGCTTGCTTGAGGTTTCATGCAGCAGGCTCCTTCTGAAGCAGGTTGCTACCTGCTTTCATTCATTCGGTGTCTAGGTTGGCTTTCTTGTCCTGCAGTCAAATTTGCCTCAGCCTGATCTTGTAGGCTCTTCTCAACTGAGTGCCTCTTCTAGGGATCCCCAGCCTTGGGCTGCCAAACAGGTGAGCACCTTAGAAGCCAAGTGACTTGGTCAAACAAGTTCAGAGAAGTGCTAAAAATTACAGTTAGCAGCAGTCTATATACTGCTTAAAACGTACCCCAATTATGTGATCTACGGGTGTTTCTATGCAACTGAAAAGTGTTCTCAGAGGATAAAACATTCCAGATGCCAGTGCAGCATCAGGTCATTCTTACCCTACCTGAATGGCGAAGGATTGCTTACACTTCTAGATCCGTGTGCAGTATGGAATGAGTCCAGACTTTACCAAGTTTTGAGTCAGCAACCCTATCCCTGTGCACCTGTCTTAACTAGGCTTTCTGCAAATCACCATGTTTCCATCTCTTTCTGCTATGCTGATGAACACCCTGTTGGCATTGAGAATGAAGGGGAACAGGGCAGTGGCTGACCAAGAAAAAGAGATGGGGGAACTTGCTTCACAATGGTGGTACAGGCTGCAGGATGTATGGAAGGGATTTGTACATCACTCCCTCATGGCAGCTTGGACTAACTGTAGGCATGGCCCATGTGTTTAGAGCCTTGGGAGAACTACTGGCATGGGTGTACTTTTTTTCAAGCTCACTCATTCTTTGGAACCTTGATTGGGAAGCCTGGAAGTCTCCATAGGAAAAGTTTATATGTCAAGTATTGTTGAAAATGAGCTGCCATAGTATTTAAGGCTCCTTTCTCCTGTGATGTCTAGATTTGGGCATTAACCACACTACTATGTTATGTTTTACCTTGGTTATATATTTTACTTTGCACAGGACCAGCTCTCTGCTGACATGTACAGTTTTGTGGCCAAAGAAATTGACTATGCAAACTACTTTCAAACGGTAAGGGTCCAGAAAGGTGAAACTGCCTAACGTCTGTTTACTAGAGTCATGGTACAGACAGGAGGGAATGTGGGCATAGAATTGAGGGCCTCTTGGTTGATTGAACACATCACAGAAAAGGGTGGGGCTTTGATGGTTCTACCTGTGAATAAATTCTGCCTTGTATTACTCCTTGTGTGGATTTCTTCCAAAACCTAAGCCCATCCTGAGGATTCTTGCAGCTCATGTCATGTATGGCAGTGAGTCTCTGTCATAGAGGGATTTTGCTGCCTTTCCTGGTAGACGTTGGCAGGCTCTGGAGACATATTTGGTTGTTACAGCAGAAGAGGGAAGAAGGTGGCATTGCCTCCAGTGGACAGAGACCAGGGATGCTGCTGAGCCTTCTGTAATCCACAGGGCAGCTCCTACCACACAGAATGTCCTTCCCCAAATGTCAGCAGGACACTGACTGTTGAGAATCCTTGGTCTATGACAATAAGGTACTTGAGGAGAAGAATACAAAGATCATCTTCTCACCTCAAGTATGCATTTGTTTTTATTGTAGGTTTTTGTCTATTACAGTGGCAGGCAGGTATATGGTGGCCTAGTGTCCTCTGTGTCTTCAGTGGAAATAGGAAGAAACTGAGTCATCTAATTCTGAATAGCCCTGTTCAGATAACTAGGCCCTGGCTCTTTACCAGGGTAAACAGAAGGCAAATCAGAGAATTGGAAAACCGAGACTGAAAAAAAAAAAATACAAAATGAGAAGCAGTTAAGCTCACCTGCTTTAAGTTTGAGAATAAAACTAAAATCTAAGGACTTTTTTTTTTCTTTACATGATCAGGGAAGTGATGTGATGATAAGGAAAGAGAGAAAAAGGGAAAGACTGAAGAGTTTAAAGTGCTCTGTGGAGGATGGTAGCCTGCTGTGGGCTAGTAGAAGTTTTCCAACATTTTCCTTAGAGGTCCAGACACTCAGAGATGCCCGCTTCTACCCTGCAAATTACTGAGATGTGTTGCTTCCATCCTGGAAAGTTTGTTTTAAAGCAGTAGTATTTTTAAATGCATTCCATTGGTTTTATTTGTGAATGTAATAGAGTTTCTAAGACCTGTGAAATCATTGGCACTCCAAGCTTTGTGAGTTCTCCTTTAGCTACCATTGATTTCAGAATTCCCATATTTGTTTTACTTCACTGTTGTAGGTATTTACCCTGCACACCAAGCTTTCAAACAGTGATTTCCTCTTCTCCCTCATGCATGCCCAATTTGGGGAGGTTCAGAAAAATAAATGAAGTAACTATATTTCATGGATTTTTCTGGCCCCAGTCAACAGCCCAGCTATTTATTAATTAATGGGATGGTATAGTAGAAAACCACGAAGGAATTTGTTCTTTGGGCTTCACCACTTATAGTCAAAGCAGCTGGCTAGAAGATGGTGGGTCAAACCACATGTTTCCTGATGAGGCATATGTTAAACTAACTTGGCAGAAATCAAGATGTATACAGGTTAGTTTAGTCTATATCTGTCTTATAGGCAGATGAATGTCTGGATGTGTTTTCCATTTATAGTCACCTCTCATTGCACATCTCCTTGCCAGCCTCCAGCTCCCCTATTCCTTTCTGGTTTCTTCTGCCTCCCATGTTTCCACTTGGCATGACTCCTCCGCCACAGAGGCTCAAGCATGCCCATCATTGTAGGATGGGACTAGTGGAGGGAGTGGGGGCTTCCCCCAACTCCCCATGACTGAGCACCTTCATGCACAATGGGTCCATCCCACAGAAGCCTGTGTTCTCACCCCGTGGCAAAGGGTAATGCTTGCCCTGTGTTTTCTCAGCTAATAGAAGTACAAGCTGAATATCACAGGAAGTCACTGACACTGTTGCAGGCTGTGTTGCCTCAAATAAAAGCCCAGCAAGGTAAGTGTAAGCCTGCCTTGGAGGAGGGTGGGTAGGGAAGCCTGGAAACCTTCCTGGATGAGACCAACTCCCTGTGTATCACACACCCTTGTGTCCACCCGGTGAGGTCACATTTAACTGAGCCACTGTACTGTCATGAGCTGGTGTTTATCCAGTTATGTGAAGCCGAGCACATCTAAACACACTACCCCTCAATAGGTGTGTGCAGGTGCATGCAGGTGTGTGTGTGTCATTTTAGCCCCAGCAGCACTGGAGGCACCTGGCTGCCCATTCACCCTCTCCAGCCCTCTTCATCATCCCCCAAACCACAAGAATGGCGCTCAACCTGGCATCCACTTCTCTGGTAGTCATAGAAGAATCTGGACAATAGGAAAGAAGGATTTTCTAGTTGGCATGGGTGGCCTTGGTGAACAGCTGACTGACCCTTTGCTTATTCCTACCCCTCAGAGGCCTGGGTCGAGAAGCCTTCCTTTGGGAAGCCCCTGGAGGAGCACCTCATGATCAGTGGCCGCGAGATCGCCTTCCCCATCGAGGCTTGTGTGACGATGCTGCTGGAGTGTGGAATGCAGGAGGAGGTAGGGTAGAGTCTCTTCCAAGAAGCAGGGCAGAGGCTTCTCTCCTGTAGTGTCTTTGCCCTGACCCCCTTGAATCCAAGCATGTGGAGCTATGGAATATGGTATTGGCCCTTCTGCAGATGCTAGCGGATCCTGATTTTTTCCCCACAAGCCTTCACTTTTATAGGGAGAGTAGTGGACTGTAGGAAGTTGCCATTGTGTGGCCATGGGTACTGGATGGCCATGTTCTAGCCACTGCTTCTTCATATTTAATGTGATTTGATGGTTTGGGCATTCTGTCACTGGTATTACTACTGCTAATAAGAAGTTTACCTCCTCCTCCTCTTTCTCTTCCTCCTTATATTTAATAAGTTGCCTTATTTTTCAGAATAGAGCTCTTAACCTTTTGGATCATCATTCTTTTATAGAGATCCTGAAATTTTGATTGACAGCATCATTAGAAAATACTTTTTAAGAGCCACATCTTAAAAAAAAGAAAAGGTCTATGAGAAATTGGTGGCAGTTGCTTTTTAATATTTATTTATTTAATTATTTATTTATTCATCATGGTGGTACTTGGGTTTGAACTTAGGGCCTCATGCTTATTAGGCAGGCTGTGCCACTTGAGCCACCAGCCAGCCCTTCAAGATAGGGTCTCACAAACTATTTAGTCAGTCTGGCTTTGAGCCACAATTCTCCTGATCTGTGCCTCCTAAGCAGGTAGAATTACAGGCATGAGCCACTGGCACCTGGCTAGTGGTTACTTTTTTTTAAATTGCTGTGTAAATCATTTCCTGGAAGATAGATCCATCTTTGGTTTTGCCCATAGGCTATTTTAATATCTTTAATCCATCTTCCTTTGATCTCATCAGCCATTCCGTACTTATTCAGGACATGCTATGCATTTATTACTGATTAAAATACAACAAGGAGGTAGGGGACATAAATTTATTGGAGAGATGAATCTAGCATCTTACTCAATAAGCACAATTAATCCAAGACAGACTGTAATCTGTAAGTAAGTATAAGGTCACGTGGCACCAACTCAGAGCTGTGGAAGAGAAGGAAGCCAACAAGCATTTAAATGTGGGCAGCTCCCTATATGGCAGGTCTGTTCAGGTGATGGATGTTCAAAAAGGAATAGGAGTAAATTGTTTTTTATGTTCTTGTATAACCGCGTTATATGGTAAAATTTGTCACAATTACCACAATTGTTATCAATGAAAAAGTAAGATGCTCTCCCGAAAAATATTTTCCTGGAGGTGAGCTGAACTTTTTGTTACAATCACTTGTTTAATTGTGAAAGGTATGGTGATGAGCCTCACCCCTAGCAATCTTGCTTCATCTTTGCTTCTGTTTCTAGCCCTCTTAATGCCTGCCTTGGGTATGTCACACATTATACTATTTCATTAATAATGCTTTAGTTTATATCTTTAAAAGATATGGGATAGTCTAAAATACAGCTGTAAGTAGCAACAATTTATTCCCATCATTGTCTGTCTAGGGAGTATAAATTGGTTTGTGCAGAGTGGACTCTGCGGTCTCCATCTTGTCTCCAGCTCTTCTGTCTCTGCCCTTTCTTGGCCCTTCTGCCTGGAGCCAGATCTCTCTCTCTCTCTCTCTCTCTCTCTCTCATCTTTTTTTCCCCTACTTGCACCAGCTTTTTTTCCTGTAGTGACAAATAGGTTCAGGTTTCCCCAGCCTAGAACAAAATGATCTCTTTGAACCCAGGTACAGACTCATATTTGTTCCCTAGCTCATTGGTTTTGATTTTTATGTTGCCCAGTTTCTTTTAAAATTTTATTTTTTGAGACAGGATTTTGCTGTGCAGGCCATGCTGGTCTGGAACTTGTGATCTTCCTGCCTCAGCCTCCCGAGTGCTGGGATTACAGGTGTGCACTATCACACCCAACTTTTGCTGCCCAATTTCTTAAAATAGCTCTTAATATTTGCTGCTCAAATATTTGTTCCTCTAATACCCCTAAAACTGGTATTACTTGCTTGCCATTACTTACTTGCTGATGAGTGATCTGTGGTGTCGCTTTTGCCTTCACCCTGGGCTAAAGCTGCCCTCAGTGATCCCAGATTGCCAAATCTGATGACTGAGTCCCAGTCTCTTAGCCACGCTGCCACCCACTGTTACTAACGTAGCCATCCCTTGCCTCTGACTACAGGGCCCTCAGCATTCTCTGTTCAGTGCACTGCCCTGCCCTCCCCTCTGTCCTGTCTGAGACAGAATGTCATCCTCCCTCCCCCACAGCCACACCTCAGCCACAATGAGGACTGCTCCCCCAGGAGGCACCACACTCGCGTTTGCTGTCATTCTTCAACATTGCCAGGCAACTTTTCCTAATACTAGGGCATCTTAACAAGCCTTCCCTTAATGGAATTGTTTTCTCTTGGCTATGCAACCAAAAATCTAAAGACTTATACAGTCCTTTTCCCTTATCCATGGGGAATACATTCCTGGACCCCTGAGGGAGGCCTGAAACCATCAATAGCACCAAACTCTATATTGACTGTTTTTCCTATACTCACATACCTATAATAAAGTTTAATTTACAAGTTAGACACAGTAACAGATTAATAATAATCTAATAATAAAGTAGAATGAATGTAACTATGCTTTAATAAAAGTTACATAAAATTTATGAGTTATTTATTTGTAGAATTTTCCACTCAGTATTTCCAGACTGTGACTGACCATAGGTAACTGAAACTGAAAGTGACAGTGCAGATGGGGGAAACTGTCATATTTACAACTCCACTTCCTTTTCTGGTTTTGTTCCTCACCATACTACTGGGTCTTTCCTGCAAGGCTTGGGCATGATTTGATGAAGATCGAGACCATTCCTTTTGTGTGCTCTGTAGCTTGTCCTCTTTGTCATAGCAGCCTTATGGACACATTCATCCAAATGTGTTTGACCTCACACATAGACCAAAGAGCCTTGGACCTCTGTTTATCTGAACCACCCTCCGCTGAGAAGGAGTTAACCATTGTAACCAGCCAGAAGCTCAGTATTCCAGACCAGGAAATTTTCTCCTAAAGGCTCTTGGGAGTCTGAGTGGCCATAAAAGATTAAAGGTGCAAGGGGCATTCTGCCAGCCTGAGTCTCATTTTGGGTGGCACTACAGAATGCAGAGGTACGGCAGAAACCGATAGGGCTGTGTGCCTCGCTTACCTGGGACTTGGAGCTTCCTTTCCACCTCTAACCTGCAATTCATCTTCTCTTCCATCTGCCATGTTTACATCTTCTCATTCTGTTCATCACTTAGTTTTGCTTTACAAGGTGTAACGGTTCATTTGGACAGAGTGTTTGCAGTTCCAAAATAATGCTAAGCACGGAAGCATGAGGCTCCCCTACATAACATCCCTAGTCTGCCCATCCTCTTAGGTAACAGACTTTGGTTCTTTATTTGGTGCATCCTACTGTGTGCATGGGTGCACATAAGATTTATTTCAAATGTACAAGAACACAAAGTCTGAGTGCCCAAGGTTCAGTTATCCAAATCACTAAACTAGTGCAATATACATTGTCCTGATAGTAGACCATGAGAACAGCACAGTGGGTAAGGAAGACCTGTCTCCTGTGCCTGTGTTGCTCTTGTCTGAATGAGGAGACACATGAAAAGAGGCAGCTACAATATTGCAATATTGGTGTTGGATGAGTTGTATGCTGGAGGTTTTAGAGGGAAGACGTGGGGAGACTTTCTGTCTGTTTTGCTCCTGTTCCTTTGAGTTTCAGGCCTCCCACTAACCCTCTGTCATGTCCATAGGGACTCTTCCGAGTCGCCCCCTCTGCCTCCAAGCTGAAGAAACTGAAAGCTGCATTGGACTGCTGTGTGGTAGACATCCAGGAGTACTCAGCAGATCCACATGCCATTGCAGGTGGGCACCCACAGCCTCTTAGCCAGGGCTCACTGGGAAGGGGCAAGCACCAACAGTGGGTGGACACAGGAGCCAGTAGCTTCCTGACATGCTTTCAGCATGTCTGCCCAGGGCCCAGATTCAGACCTGGTGCCTCTGGTCCCTTGAGGGAGGCCTCCCTAGTGTTCCAAAAGAAGATGGGGTAAGATAAAAAGCATGAGAGTGGGTGGGGACAAGGACCAGTATGCATTCTTATGGGAAGCCACCATTTACCTTGTCCTGTTGATTAGGGAGTCCATCTCCACATGGAACCCACAGGGCTGATGCAAGCCAGGTCTCTGCCGTGTGCTAATGGCTCATGGTCAATACTGTATTTGTGTTCAGGAGCTTTGAAATCTTACCTCCGAGAGTTGCCAGAACCTCTTATGACCTTTGAACTCTATGACGAGTGGATCCAGGCTTCCAAGTGAGTACCTTATAGGTGTTAGTTTATTGGAAACTACAGTTGTCTCTTGGTATCTATGGATGGATCATTGGTTCCAGGACCCATGGGTGCTCAGGTCCTTTTTATAAAATGGCATAGTATTTGCATAGAATCTACAAACCTCCTCCTGTATACTTTAAATCATCTGTAGGTTATTACAATACGTAGTACAAGGTAAATGGTTTCTGTAGTTACTATATTGTGTTGGGATTAATGACAAGGAAAATGTCTATACATATTCAGTATTGATGCAATCATCATACACCTAACTGTGTAGTGGAGTTAGCTGAGCACTGTTGGTTGAGTCCATGGTGCTGGACCTGCAGATAGAGGGTCAACTATATTTTTTCAAAGTATAGAATTGTGTCTACTAGGATCTACCAGCCCCCTTTCATGATCTCTAGCAAGAGGTATGTTTGTGCATGTTCCCAAAGAAGCATGTACAAGGGTGTTGATTGCAGCATTATTTGGGGTAGCAGAAGCCCAGAAGTTGCTAAAGGTTCATTGGGGGAGGGGGAAAGGGAGGGACATGCTAAGTAAACTGGTGTGTCTATACTGTGGCATACTCTGAGACAATTAAGAAGTTAGGTAGAGCTATTCAGGCTGAAATGAAAACATACAAAGATTGACTGTTGAGTAAAATGAAGCAAGGTAATGAGGACACGTATGATATTCTATTTTTGTAAAAAGAAAGGTAAACACCCAACACACCCAGAACAATAGAAGTTTAGGAGTTACCCCATATATGTGCAGAAAAGAAGGTTCTAAAAGGGCTTACTCAAGCCATGTCAGGGATTCAGGGAACGTAAGAGCAGGACAAAAGAATGGTCATGGGAGTCCTTACCTTTATCTATAATAGTTAGTAATATGTTAACAACTAATTATAACATAAAACATAATACAGGCAATGGGCACTCTTCTCCCTCCTGAAGAAGAACCGAAGGAGCAGGCCTTGGCTGGGAACAAAGTTCAGGCCCATATTGGTGAGTGGGGATAGTGAAGACTAAGGAATGCAGCAGCTAGTGCATAGCCTACAGGCAAAGCCACCACAATGTCACACATTGCAGCAACTGAGTGGGCTTTTCCTTTGTGATTCCTGGCTTCCTTCCCCAGTTTGTGCATGCATCAGGAAGGTTTTATATATTCTCTTTGGCCATAGGTAAGAGCTCTCTTAAGTAAATGCTGCTGCTTGGAGGAATCCATTTTTTACTAAGTAAATGGCCATGTCTAGTGAGGAAATAGACTGTACCAGGACAGGGGAGTTGACACCATGCCAAGGTGGTGAAGAGCAGGTTAGAGATTGTCCAGGGAGAAGAGAGGGAGGAGGGAGAAGAGTGTTTTGTGAGGGCAGGGCTGGAGAGAATAGCTCTACCTTAGCAAGGTATTCATGAGTGGAAAAGATTTCTAGAGCTCTCTAGTCATGGAACTTCGTCACCCAAGGCTCTCAGAACTGTAGACCTTGTATCTGATGCTGATGTGTCTAATTTTTAAATGAGTCTTTATTAATTTTAATTGATACATGATTGTGCATATTTATGGGATGAAATGTAATGTTTCTATACATACATACATTGTGCAGTGATCAAATCAGGGTAATTAGCATATGCATCATGTCAAACACTTATAATTGATCCCTGTACTTTTTTTTTCTGTTTGGCCCTTTTGCTGTAGTTTGTTTTTTCAAATAATGTCTTGTACTTTTGCCTGGGGCTAGTCTTGGCTCAGAATCCCCCTACATCTTCCTCTGCCTCTTTCATAGCTGGGGTCACAGGCATACACCACCATGTCCAACTTCTTGGTTGAGATGGGGGTCTCACCAGCCTTTTTTCCTGGGCTGCCATGGAACTGTGACCCTTCCATCTCTGCTTCCCACTCAGCTGGAATTATAGTTGTGGCTCACCATGGTTGTCAATCCTACTTCAATAACTAGGTGCAGAGAGACCCAGCTGAACTATAAAGCCAGACTGAAACATGTAGAACCAGAGCAAGCTCATTCCAATCAAATTTTGTAACACTATTTCTCTCCAGAGTTGAATAGATGATACATTATGTGATATTTTATCATGAAGAGTTGTGTTCCGTGAGGCTGCTAATAGTAGTATGTGGTTCCTCTTATTGAGTACTTTAATAGAGGCTTGACATTACTCTAAGCTCACTATACATTTTTAACTCATTTAATTTTCCCAGCAACTTTATGAAACGGGTTGGGGCATTTCCCACATGTTGCAAACAAGGAATTGGAGGTACAGAACAGGTACATGGCAGCAGTTACTTGCCAGTTAACACCTAGCTGAAAGAGAACTTGAATCCAAGGAGTCCAGTTTCAGAGTTCATGCACTTAAACATAGTCCCAGCTCCTTCTGTAGAGCAAGGAGGAAATGAGAACATGTCCCTCAGTTTTGTTCTGTTGTTTTTTTTTTTTGACTGAATGTATAAGTCCTCTTGAATGATATAAGTTAGAGAAAGGGAGGACAGCCCAGTGAGTCACAATCTATCTGAAGAGACACTCTCATCTTATTTCATTTGCAAAGGCGAGTCTCCTTTAGAAGACAGGAATGATCAAAATGACTCACAGAGGTCAGTGTCTTTGACAGCTGATGCACATAAACCAGCAGTCATGATCTGGTCCATCCACCAGGCCAGTCCTCTGCACCAAGCAGATCTCGAATGTTCCATGTGGATCGCAGAGCTGGTTAGATTGCGAGCTCCACTGGGTGCTTACCTTTCCCGCCCTAAAGCTGGTGCCTGACACACAGAGGGGACTCAGGTTACATGTCATCTGCCCTTTAGTAGAAGACAAGATTACAAGTTCAGGTTAAAGATGAAATTGGTTTTCAGTTTTTATTTTACAGTGGGCACCACCTGGTTCATAAAGTAGGAGTGCTCTGATGAGCTGAACAGGGGAAGCTGATTTTACTATAGAAAACGCTAAAGAAGCCGGAATAACAATCCATATGAAAGTGAGTCTCCTAGGCTGGGGCCATGGCTCAAAAATGGGAGAGCACTTGTGTAGCAAGCATGAGGCCCTGAGTTCAATCCCCAGTACTGAAAAAAAGAAAAAAAAAAAACAAAGACTCTCCTTATAGGGGTAAAGTGAAGAGGACTTCATCTTGCTGGCTTGGGAAAATTAGGCTCCTTCTGACTGGTTGCTGTGAATCTCCTGTTTTTGTCTCTGAGGATGTGACTCTTTGCACAAGTGGCCCTGTTCCACTTCGGTCTGGTTTTCTGGGCTCAGTGTCCAAGGATTGTCTAAAGCAGAGGTTTCCCATAGACTGTCGGTCACACCTGTCACTGCAGGAAAAGTTGAGGGGCAGAAGAAAGTGGCATTTGATGCCATAAAAGATGCCGTATCAAGTGACAGAGGTGACAACAGCAGAAGGAACAGTAGCTGCAAACGCCAATGTTTAACATTGATTGAGAGCTTTTAATATACCCGCAGCAAGCTGGGCACCTGTTCAGTTCTCCTTTCAGCCATTCCTCAGCTCTGGGAGGGAAGTGTTTCCCATTGTACCCCGGGGAAAAACAGGCTTATTGGGGTCAGAGAATTGCCACAAGGTCACATGATGGAGCTAGGTCTTCATGGCCTTTGCACACAAGACCACCTCCACCAGAATTCAGCCACAAACTTGATGTGCTCTCTGTCCATGTATCCCCAAGTGGTCCAGTGGGTTCTCACTCTGGCCTCCTGGCTAAAGTTTCTTACGACGAACACCTGCCCCTTTCTCAAGGCTGCAGTGTGGAGAAAGAGCGCTTTTCTCCCCACAGTCAGGATCAGTAGGAGGATCTCAGAGTCGCAGCAACACCACCTGCATGATGGCCACACCTCAGCTGTTGGCCCCAAATGACCAGGCTAGAGCTGGTGTTTGTCTTTCAGTTTTTCCGGAGAAGATTCTTTGAACAGAAAGCTTTCTTAACCATGTAGGCCTTGATACAGATTTATATTAAAAATGTAGTCCTATAAGTCAAAAAGACTTATACATAAACCTGTAGAATAAATAATTTTGTATAGTGGAAAGTCCTCCATTGAGCAGAAATCATCTGTTCCTTGAGTTACGTCTTGAAAGGTCAGATTCTTTATGTCTGTGTGGTGTACTTGCTCAGAAAGTATTTACTGAGCATCTGTTACTCCACACATCCAGGAACTTAACAGGTAGTAAGGTATTTCAGTGAACTTGACTGCAGACTGTCACTATGATGTATAGGCAGAGTTGAGCTCCCTGGCTGTGTCCTATGTCCTCCTGCGAGCCCCGTAGCTCCCCCCGGCCTTTGGCCTCTTCTCCTCACTGCTAGCCTAGGAGGCGTTCACCTGGGACATACAATATGTGCAGAAAAAGCTTTGGTAAAATAACATAGGACAAGGCAGAAGGAGAGCATGGAGGGGAAATAATAACCAAACATTAAAAACTAAGAAGTTTATTTGTGCATGGTTCTGGAGACTGGGAAGTTGAGGATTGAGGGGTGTGAGGGCTGCATCTGTTGAGAGCCATCTTGCTGTGTTAGAACATGGTGGCAAGTGTCACATGGCAAGAGCCATGGGTGGGTGGAGGAGAGAAATAATTTTAATAATAGTGGCTTGCAGGTGTGAATTACAGCGGTTGTCTCCTTATTGTCCAATACGATGATGACTGGGTCATCTGATTGCCAGTGACACTTTTTTATACTCAACCAGTGGCTTTTCCTATTCACTTCCCAGTATCCAGGAGCAAGACAAGAAGCTTCAAGCTCTGTGGAACGCTTGTGAGAAACTGCCCAAGGCCAATCATAACAACATCCGGTAAGTGGGTCGTGGAGACGCATGAATTGGGCTTATTTGAGCCCCAGATACCGTTTCTGGATAAAAGTCATGGAAACTAGAATGCATGGCATTTTGTGGTGTCCAAGGTACTGTTAGCATATGCGGTCTCTCTGAAGTCTCAAACAACCAAGGCAAAGATGGTTATTACCATTGTGCAGATAAGGAAAGGAACTTAAGCTATATGACATTGGAGGTGACCTAACTAGACATTGGTTAATTGAGTCAAGTTCTTTGGTTTGCAAGGAGCAAAGAATAATGCAAACTGTCTTACAGTACTGGAAGTTTATGGTAAAGGTAACTGTTCTTGGACAACTGGAGAAGCTGACAATGCCAGGCTGGAGGAGGCTTTAGCCCTTGGAACAAGTCACCTTCTCCATGCTCCACCATTCATGAGACACAGCCATTTTGCACATGTCTATCTCTCACTTTTCTCACCTGGATTTTACTTCCTCCCTACCCCGGGGTTCTCCACCTCATGCTGTCTGCATCCTCCTCCTGCTGTTTTGTCAGCACCCCTCCTGGCCTCTCCCTGCTTCTGAAGATGCAGATTTCAGCTTCAGCTCCTGCTGCCATCTGCCTGCTTGTTTCTGTTCCCCTGTTAAAAACCCCAAGAGCTTCAGTATGGCAGTTCTTCAAGAAATTAAATCTACACGTTCCATATGATCCAGCATTTCCACTTCTGAGCTCATACCCAAAAGAACTTTGGGTTGAAAGCAGAGACTTGATATTTGCACACCCACATTCAAAGCAGCATGATTCACCATAGCACAAAGTGGAAGTAAACCCAAGTGTCCACAGACGGACAAATGGATAAACAAAACGTGGTGTGTAAGTACAGTGCTGCAGTGTAGGTGAACCTTGAGGTTTGATGATAAGGGAAAGAAAGTAGACAAGACACGGGCTTGTGGCCATACTTGTATGAAGGACCTGGAATAGTGAAGTTCATAGACAGAAAGAAAAATGGAGATGGCCAGGGTTGGGGGAGTGGAGAAGGCTGGGGTTTGATGAGTATAGTTCAGTTTGGGAAGATGAGAAAGGTCTGGAGATGGATGGTAGTGATGGCTGCCTGACTGTGAATATACTCAGTGCCCCTGAACTATACACTTAAAAATGGGTCAAAATGCTAAATATTGTATATATTTTGCTGTCATTTAAGAAAAAAGTCCCAAGAGCAAAAAAAAAATCAATTGGTACAACT